ACGCTGAAACAGAGCTACAGCACGGTGGCCAAGATCATACAGCGGTTTTCCAGGACAGGTTCCGCTCGGAACAGGCCTTGCCAGGGTCGACCAAAGAAGTTGAGTCCACATGTTCAGTGTCATATCCAGAGGTTGGCTTCAAAAAATTGACGAATGAGTGCTACCTGCATTGCTGCAGAGGTTGAAGACGTGGGGGGTCAGCCTGTCAGTGCTCAGACCATACGCAGCACACTGCATCAAATCGGTCTGCATGGCCGTCATCCCAGAAGGAAGCCTCTTCTGAAGCTGATTCACAAGAAAGCCCGCAAACAGTTTGTTGAAGACAAGCAGTCCAAGAACATGGATTACTGGAACCATGTCCTGTGGTCTGACAAGACCAAGATAAATTTGTTTGGCTCAGATGGTGTCAAGTGTGTTTGGCGGCACCCTGGTGAGGAGTACAAAGACAACTGTGTCTTGCCTACAGTCAAGCATGGTGGTGGTAGTCTGGGGCTCCATGAGTACTGCCGGCACTGGGGAGCTGTAGTTCATTGAGGGAAACATAAATTCCCACATGTACTGTGACATTCTGAAGCACAGCATGATCCCCTCCCTTCGGAAACTGGGCCGCAGGGCAGTTTTCCAACATGATAACGACCCCAAACACACCTCCAAGATGACAACTGCCTTGCTGAGGAAGCTGAAGGTAAAGGTGATGGACTGGCCAAGTATGTCTCCAGACCTAAACCCAATTGAGCACCTGTGGGGCATCCTCAAGCGGAAGGTGAAGGAGCGCAAGGTGTCTAACATCCACCAGCTCTGTGATGTCATCATGGAGGATTGGAAGAAGATTCCAGCCAGTTTGGGCACAATTTGGACATGTTCACTGTGAGGTGTACTCACTTGTGTTGTCAGCTGTTTAGACATTAATGGCTGTGTGTTCAGTTATTTTCAGAGGACAGTAAATCTACACTGCTATCCAAGCTGTACACTCACAACTTTAAGTTATATCAAAGTTTGATTTCTATAGTGTTGTCCCATGAAAAGATATAATAAAATATTTGCAAAAATGTGAGGGGTGTACTCACTTTTGTGAGATACGTATAACTGTGGTATAATTATTCATTATTATGAATCAGCGGTATGAACGTGTATACACTGTGGGTCTGATATAATCACAGTGGTATAGACAATTGGTTCAGAGTTAAGAGGTTGATTGCTGGGTGACAGCTGGGGGGAAGAAGCAGATCCTGAACTTGCTGGTTCTGGAACAAAGATTCCAGTTTTAAAAAGTCTCTTTGTCTTATTTGTAAAAGTGAATTATTGAATGTTACTCGTCTAGACCCTCCTCACTTGTGTCTGTGCACTCTCTGTTGTTGATGTTAGTGGGAAAGGTGGAAGCGGTGTCTGTACTGGCTCAGGTCCTGATAAAGACAGAGGTATGCTGAAATCTCCTCAGAAATGTATAGGCCTAGCGAACTTTCAATCCTGCCTGATCTCATAACAGTAATGTAAAGTAGTTACAATATGGTGAACCGCCATGTATTCACTTGGTCTACTGGATGTATGCAATCTCAAAGTACAGTCATGGCATAGCTGGGCAACAGCCAGCAGGAACAGGAACAACATTAATATCATACATTTAATATGACAATATTACAATATTATATATTTGTAGTCATTTTTGTCATTAGTTGCACTAATGATACTTACCGTTGAACATGGTTTCTTGTCTGGAGCGGTCCTTTGGGATGGAGATAAAGATCGTTTTCCAGGAGCTTCAGCCATCTCTGTATTTCTGTGATGTTAGTCGGGAGCTATTGCATAACTTCAAACTCTGGAGGATGTTGTTCTTCTTCATGGGACTGAGGGCAGACTAGACGCTATCTAGTGGCACAAAGAGGTATTACAACACGGGACAGGTCAGGGCTAGCTGGTGTTAGAGAAAAAAAGTCCAGGTCCAGGCCAGAATCTAAGTCAAAAAAAGATTAGAAAATAAAGTCACTGGAGATGGTCAGAGTCCAAAGCAATAGAATTTATTTTTTCACAAGAACAAAAGCGAGATCAGATCCGGATCTGAGCTGAAGATAGAGTGCCTGTCCATCATAGTTCCTTCTTAGATGGGTTCTCCACCTATTTTCTTAAGCGAACCTATCAATGCCATGGGAACAAACCAAGCATGGCACGGTATAGTAGTGGTGCCAGGTGTCCAGGAGCCCCCTATCTATCCACAACCGAGGTCTCATATCTATCCTCAAAGTCTCCTATCTATCCTCAACCTAGGGCTCTTATCTATCCTCAACCTGGGCTTCGCTACGGCTGCTACTCCAACACCATTGCTCCCAAAGCCCTTCAGACTATTTTTTATTTTTATTTTATTCCCTCCAGGTTCCATTTTATAACAATCTTACTTCAGTAAAGGCTGGTTCACATATAAATCTAACCTCAATTGTGAATATAGCTATTTTATTGGATATATAAGTTTAACATTCAGTATATTCAGTATGTTTTTAAACTCAGGTAAACTCCTTTTACAGTGCCAGCTAAGTTTGCCTTTCTGTTCAGAGAGGAAACACTCACAACTGCAGGGAGTAATGTTATCACATGCACTTACAGAGCACTCACAGATGCAGAGGAGAAAAATTGAGCTGCTAGCTGTGGTGCAGACTGGTAAAACGGATAAGTCATGTTTCATCCCTTGGTTGGTGCTCCTGTAAGTGTGCCTCTGTGTGAGATGCCTCAATTGGTGATTGTGTCTTTTTGAAACTTGTTTGAGGGCTGCGCTCATTCTTGCAGGCCCCAGTGCAGTGTAGCCATGGTGTTTGTGGTTTAACAGAACCATGCTAGGTAGGTGACAGGTGTTTGTCTGAGCACACATGTTCACCCAAGTGTTGTGTTTATATCACTGCAAATTGGACCTGGAGCCGATAAATAACCGTGACTACAACAGAGTCATTTGACCCAGGAGTGAATGCTGATGTACCTTTTTCCATTGCTGACAAAAGCTCAATGTTAGTGGGCCTTAGTGGGTTTTTTTGACCAGTGTAAAAGGGGCTGGTCTGACGGAAGCACAGATGGCTGCAGTGAGGGCCTGGAGAACATCATAGGGGACAAAACACAGCAAACAAACCACATACAGATATTAACTGCAAAGGATTTTCCACAAATTATTATAAAAGATGAGCTTGTTTGCCTTCATGTGTATCTGTCCAATTACGTTTGAACTCCTTTTTTTTGGGCACTGTGTGTTAAAATGGCTGTATCTCTCACAGAGATTTTCCTATATTGATGTAAACCTACTGAAATTGGTCCTTTAATATGGAATCCATTATGGCAAATTCAGTGTATGAAGAAAGTGGTCATTACTCTGTTTCACAGATACCTAATCATTACTTTATGATTGATGAATATAGTGCCATCCAGTCTTTTCTCTGGTAACCTATCATGACTATTTAGTACTTGTTCTGTTTGGTTACAGATATAACAGCATTTCTACAAAGCTCCTACAGAAAAATTGAATCTTCAGATTTGGGGTGTGACAACATGAGCAGATTTAAGGACTGGGGAAGGACCTCAGAAATACCACCAGGGTGGTTCTTAGAACTCAGCAGTCAAGAAAAAGGGAAGATTTCAGGAACACCAGTATATGACAAGTCACTCATTTATCAACATGGGAAGAAAAAGAAAAGAAAATCATTCCTACATATACCTTGTCTCCTAGAAATTTCATTTGTACTTATAACAAATTCAACATTATAGCTGGCTGGATTTTGGGCAACATAGTTTTTGAATGAATGAAGCACTACATTTATTTATGGCAGTGGAATTGCTAAAAAGTGGTTTTAGTTTTGGTTAAATTTACCGAGAGTTGTAACACGTTGTCTGAATTCACTGCAGTGAACTAATTACATATTAAACCACACCGCTATCTTTTCCTAATCCTAACCAAGTGCTGTGAGTGCCTAACCATGAAAAAGGTTAATAATTCTGTAGTCACTAAGTGGGTATTATGCTATCAGATTTTTCTCAACATTTTACTGATATCCTCAGTATCAATGTATTTGTCACTTACCAAATATGTAAATTAACTACATATTCTCATTATGTTTATACAAAATGTCACATTTAGATTTCCCACAAAATGTATTTGCCATTGCAGTTTGGTTATATAAAAACATAATTTCTAGACCACAGGGTTAACATAAAACATAATAGGTATGAGAATCAGCTCAGTAGAGGTTTAAAAATGAAAACAATGCTTGATTTTTATTTGAATACGTTTTAAGTAAAATAAAAAGTTGACAAACCAGTACAGCACTTTTCTGTCTACTATAGTCCAGTGCCAATACCCATGCAATGTAATCCAGTCTCTTCATAATGCATCAAGAAATGTAATACTTTGGACAGACTGACATCTCAGTGTTTGTTGGTAAAATATAATTGAATGAGTGTGTGCAAAACAAATACAAACTTTAACATTATGAAATTAATACATTAAGCATACTAAAATGATTACAGTTGCTTAATGATATTTTTGGCCACCCAGAACAACGAAAACAATATTAAGTAAATTCAATAGTCACTATTATTCATTTGTGAATTTTGAGTGGTGCCCACCTGATGATTGTAAGTCCAATATTCACTCTCTTTTTAACTTAGCAAAAAATATCTGGCTCTTTTGGTAAAAAACAATTTAGAGCTGAAGGAACCACAGACTATTACAGCAGGTTGTGTCAGCCTTTTGACCTACTTCCTTTGTTTATTTGGTCAACTAAAATCTCTTATGCAGTTGGTGCATGTCATTTAATTAACAGTTCTGTTGGACCATAGTGTGGTGTATCAACCTGGTCACATTTTTTTATAATAATGCTCAATAAAATGATCAAGTTTGTAATATACTTTTAGTGACAACAGACACTGTCACAGTTCCACCTTTTTAACAGCTGGTATACATGTGCATGTTTATGACTTAAAGAGTAAGTGTCTATGTGTTGTTAACATGCATGTCTACATGTCCACAGTGTGAACAGTATTAGTGGCAGTGATGGAAAGCATTCCAGTGTGAGGAGTACAGGCTCAGAGGGCAGCTGCTCTCTGACCACAGCGGACTTCATGAAATTCAAGATCATATGGAACCAAGAGATTCATCACAACAGGGAGCTATGGAAGGCCCAAGCAGCCAAAGGTAGCCACACTGATCCTCTATTCACTTTCACTCAAATATGTCAGTCTACACAAGGCTATTTCCAATCTTTGCACCACATTTTCAAATACAGATCTGCACACTAGCTCCAGCGTGTTAGCTTTGAATAGACATTCTGCAAACTTTTCCAAGACTTTGGGCAGGCAAAGGTATGTTCATTCAGAACCTGAAAATGTAAGTAATTGGATATATAAAACTACACATGCCCACCTGCAGGCAATGTTCATTTTATAAATCCCAACCACCTTAGAAATGTGCACACATGATCAGCCTCATATCCTGCGCTCCATACGACCACTTTCAACCATAAATGGTCAATGCAAAGCACCTGAATGAATGCTGATGAAAATTACCCTGTTGATCAACGGTTCTTTTCTTTTTGAACAGTTTATTTATATATACATGTATATATAATAAAAAAGGAATTTATATATAACATTTAAACTGAGGTTGGCATAAATCTCATATGTTGGTACAAAAATTCAACATATACATACATATACTAATGCCCATGTGTGTCAAGTCAGTATCGTTATCAGCCCACAGCAAATTGTGAGATTTTACCCATGTAGCTACCAAAGTCAGCCCAACATGTCATGTTGTGCGATGGCAGACACTTTTTGTTAGTTTTGTTTTGGAATTCTCGCACTTCCTGTTTTATTTTTTAATTTGGTTCCTTGTTCTGTTTCCATGAACCTCCCGGCCCCACGCTCCATGTCATTGTTGATTCAGGTCTTGTTCCTTGTTACTTTGTTTAGTTTTTTCCTCATAAGAGTGATTTTTGGTTCTCTGGCGTTTGACGTTTGTTCCTCTCAGAGTTTTTTATTGTTTGTTACTTTGTTGTTTCCTCATAAGATTGATTTTCTTTTGTACTTTGTTAATAAATATCATTTTGTTGAACTTTTTGAGTCGTGCATTCGGGTCCTGTCCAAGTTCGAGTCTGACAGAACGAACCAACCAGAAATAGACCCAGCTGCCTACGCCAGCCTCATGGCATTGTTGAGTGTGCATCCATCCTGGCAGCAAGGACCTTCGTCGTTTTCCAGGCCTGTTTGTACACTGGCTGATCCTTTTTCGGATTCTGACCAGGAGGACCCTGACCTGGAGGACCCTGACAAGTCCCCTTTCTGGGGAACTCGTCTGGCTATCTTCAGGGGTTTTCGTGGAGGCCACAGTAGGCGAGGAAATCATGGCTACCGTCACCATGGGGAGGCTCGGCCTCGGCCCTAGCCCCAGGTTCCTCGCTTCCGGCCCAAGCCACCGTCCAAGGTCCCCAGCTTCCAGCCGAATCCTGTTCCTCGTGTCCTGTCTGCGGCCCAGCTGACTCCTGACTCTGGTTCCTGGTCAGTGGTCCGGCCGATCCATGCTCCTCGTTCCCTGCTGGCGGTCCGGCCGAATCCTGTCCCTCCTGTCCAGTCGGCGGTCCAGCTGACTCCTGACTCTGGTTCCTGGTCAGTGGTCCGGCCGATCCCTGCTCCTCGTTTCCTGTCGGTGGCCGCTGCTCCGTGTTCTCCAGCGGCGTCGACAACGGCTACTGATGTGACGTCACCGCCTCTCTTGGTTCCTGATGTGACGTCACCTCCTCTCCGGGCTCCAGCAGTGACGTCACCTCCACTCGTGGTTCCTGCCAGGGCGCCACCCCCATTGATTCTTGCCCTGACTCAGCCCACATGGCTCTTGGTACCATTGACTCCTGCCAGGCCGCCGCCTCCGGTGGCCTCTGCCCCCGTGCTGACTCCGGTGGTCCCTGACTCTGTGCCGCCTCCGGTGGGTCCTGACTCTGTGCCGCCCCCGGTGGTCCCTGACTTTGTGCCGCCTCCGGTGGGCCCTGACTCTGTGCCGCCTCCGGTGGCCCCTGACTCTGTGCCGCCTCCGGTGGGCCCTGACTCTGTGCCGCCCCCGGCGGTCCCTGACTCTGTGCCGCCCCCGGCGGTCCCTGACTCTGTGCCGCCTCCTGTGGTCCGGCCGATCCCTGTTCCTAGTCGGCTCCTGGTCACCCTCCAGAGAGGCGACGCCATCCTCCGGCTCGACCTCCGGAGAGACCCTGTCTTCGCCGCCGGCCTCCTGCTCACCCTCCAGAGGGGCGACGCCATCCTCCGGCTCGACCTCCGGAGAGACCCCGTCTTCGCCGACAGCCTCCAGAACGGCTCCGTCCGTTTGCCCGACCTCCGGGTCGCCCCACTGAACTGCCCTGCCTGTCCATAAGGCCTCCGAGCCGTACCCCTGAGTTGCCATGTGTTGCCCCTGAGCATCAGATGATGCTGTCAACTGGCCCCTGGATCCCTCCTCCCGCCCAAGTTTGTGTTTTGGTTGAGGGTCGTCTTGAATTCGACCCTTAAGGGGGGGTTCTGTCATGTTGTGCAATGGCAGACACTTTTTGTTAGTTTTGTTTTGGAATTCTCGCACTTCCTGTTTTATTTTTTAATTTTGTTCCTTGTTCTGTTTCCATGAACCTCCCAGCCCCACACTCCATGTCATTGTTGATTCAGGTCTTGTTCCTTGTTACTTTGTTTAGTTTTTTCCTCATAAGAGTAATTTTTGGTTCTCTGGCATTTGCCGTTTATTCCTCTCAGAGTGATTTTCTTTTTGCCTCCTCTAGTTTTTACTTTGATACTTTGTGCTTAGTCACGTTATTGTTTGTTACTTTGTTGTTTCCTCTTAAGAGTGATTTTCTTTTGACTTTGTATATAATATCATATGTAATATCATTTTGTTGAATTTTTTGAGTCGTGCATTTGGGTCCTATCCAAGTTCGAGTCTGACACAACATTTATCATAGAGATGTGGCTTTCTTTTGAAGTTAAACATATTTTTTTCTGATGCCATGTATGAGGAAATTTCTTTAAACCACATGGAAATAGGCAGATGTCTTCACTTTTCAATGACAATGCAAGGCATTTGTTACCAGCAATCATGGCCAGTTTTATAAACCGCACCTTGCTTCTTTTGCTGAAAGGGATATCAGATATGTCGCCTAATAAGGCTAGTTTAGGTGAACCAGGAATTTCAAACCTAGTAATCTCTTTGGGGGGTATTGGAAAGCATTTTGATTTTGATCCTGGGAACTTTCCTCCTCCAGATGAAAGCAGATATCATTCTTTGCAGTTTCTTAAAGAAGTTTTCATGTATGGATATAGGGAGTGATTGAAACAAATAAAGACATTTTGGTAGAATGTTCATCTTAATGCAGTTCACTCGTCTGATTAGAAAGATTGGCAAATGCATCCATCTATCCAAATCCTTCTCCACATTTTTAAGCAATTAGTCGTAATTTAGTGAGAAAATGTCTCTATTTGGTTAGTAATCTTCAAACCCAGATATGTTATGAATTGAGTATTCCACTGTAAGGGGAAATTAGTCCTTGGGGTCCTTTCTTCTAAAGAGTTGAGGGGCATAGCCACCGTAAAGGGGGGAAAAGTTAGGACGATTCTAAGGGCCCATGACTGACAGGGGGCCTCCCAAAAAAATTAAAAAATATATATATATTTTTTTTTTTTTTAAATCAGAATTAATACTTTATTCAAAATAAAGTAATGAAACAAACGGTCCCTTTGTCTTCATAAAATGTATATCAAAGGTCTCTACTTCATTTGGGCAAATTCATATTAATCCCCCCCCCCCCCCCCCCCCCCCCAAANTTTTGCCGTCAGTGGATTCAAATTTGACAAAAGTGAAATTTGGATCGTAACACAACTAACCAAGCATGCGCGTAAGATCTGATCAAAAACCTTGACCCAAACATTATCCTTAAGGCTCCACCATAATAATCTATAGTAAACCAAACTTAACCCCAAATAAAGTGAAACAGAAATGTGGCATTTCTGTGACAATTGGTAGCAATGAGAAAAAATAGGAAAAATAAAATACAAGCCCAAAACTTTTGTTACCCAGTGGTCTCAAGAAATGTTTGGCTTTCATAGAACATGTATGAATTTGAGTTGTTGGCTGTGGTAACATGTTGCACTCTCTTAAAGGGTGTTAGATGTTGGATGAAATTAGATTCAACTGTAATAAATAAGTGCACAGGTTGGGTTAAGTCAGGACTGGAATTTTAGCCTTGATGAACTACATGTATGTTTCTATTTGTCAGACATTTGAGCCATTGCAGATTCGTGCTGCCTTTTACAGCCCGAAGCAGTACAGACCAGCTGCAGCACACTGACTACCCCCCCCCACCCCCCCACCCCCCAAAAAGGTGAGCAACGTGACATGTCAGTTAGCATCATTGAAAGATGTCTGTGGGAATCTCCTTTTGTATCTTTCTTCTCTCTCTATATTACAAAAGAAGATAACTTGGCTATTTTTTTTTGTTAAACACTTATTGTTTTTCCACATAATGATAATTATATGAATCAAAAACAGCCTATAGTGTGTTTTGGATGTTGGGCAGGTTGAAGCATTGAGTGACTTAGTCTGTGTTAATGTTGCAGAGATTACTAAAATAATACCTTAAAATCAGATGTTTTGATGCTGACTGAATTATGAGTGGTCCCACGAGGGGCAGTTTGTTTAAGTAGCTTTTAGAACACAAAACAAAAACACAGTGATATGCAAAAAATACGCCAAAATGAAACAAAACCTCTTAATAATTGTAATTAATAAACTTGATACAATAAACTTGAACACAATAAAATATCAAATATCTAGCGTTGGTGATACAGAACAGCAGCCATTATTCTGCTTTTTTCTGTTGTGCATTCATTTTTAAAGACTGTTGTAACTTTGATTCTGATGTTATTACAAGTTGTATATTATAAGACATATATGCATTATGTACAGAGCCAGGACCCTCTCCATGTGAGGTTTGGTCAGGACGAAGTGTGGAAGTAGAGGAAGAAGGGAGAGAGAGGGACAGCTCAGATGATGGAGAGACCCGAAGTGATAGAGGAAAACTTAAAAGTCAACCTGATGATTCATGTGATAGGGATTCCACTAAAGCAGTGTTAGAGTCCAATGACCCAGGTTTGTGGCCAGCAAATTTACAGGATACAGAAAGGGAGAGTATTGTAAGAAATTTGGCCAACAGAGATGAAGATCAGGACATGCCAAATGATTCAGAGGCAAAGCCGTTCCCTGAGTACCTCAAGTATACAAAGACAGCCAATGGGAGAGAAAAAGTGAAGAGAGACTGGGTGACATACAGCAAAAGCACTGATGCACTGTATTGCATCCCATGTGTCCTTTTCTCCAAAGAGCAGAAGAGACCATCCTTTAGTGCACTGAATAGTCAAGATGGATATAAAATGTCTGATGTGAAGTGGCGTCGAATGTATGATAAATTCCCAGACCATGAAAAGAACAAAGCACACAGAGACTGCTACTTGAAATGGAAGAATTTAAAACAATCAGTGATGGCAGGTAGTGGCATTGACTGTAAGTTGCAGAAGCAGATACAAACAGAAATTGAAAAAAATAGAGCACTGTTGCAGAGAATCCTGGATGTAACGCTGCACTTGGCATCAAGAAATTTACCTTTCAGGGGTAAAACCAAAGACATAGATGATATCCATAATGGTAATTTTCTAGGCACACTAGAGCTTTTGTCTCATTATGACCCACTGCTTAATGAGCACTTGCAAAAAGTCAGGGACAAAAAACAAGGAACCAGGCTGACACTACCTGAGCTCTGACAGTCAAAATGAGTTCATTGATTTGTGTGGTAGAAGAGTTTTGAAAACAATTCTGAAGGAAAGAGAGGATTCTATTTATTTTTCAGTCATCTGTGATGCCACATCAGACATTTCCCATACTGAGCAAAATGTTGTACTGATAAGATATGTGAATTACAACAAAGAAACAGATGACTGGGAGATTAACGAACGGTTCCTTGAATTCAAGGACTTTCGCAAAAAGACAGGAAGTGAGATAGCAGAAATGATTGAAAATGTGCTTCATGACAAAGGGATTGACATTGGGGACTGCAGAGGGCAGGGATATGACAATGGGGTGAACATGTCAGGAAAAGTTAAGGGGGTCCAAGCCCAAATACTAAAGAAAAATAATCTGGCTACATTTTCACCTTGTGCCACCCACACCCTAAACCTTGTAGGTGTGCATGCTGCAGAGTCAAGCACAGAAGTAGCAACATTTTTTGGCTGCATCAATCGCCTTTACGCACTTGTTAGTGCCAGCCCAGAGTGATGGGCCATCTACAAAGAGAAAACAGGCTCCTCTTTGCATCGTCTTTCTGATACCCGCTGGAGTGCAAGGATAGATGCTGTTAAACCTGTAGTGCAACACCTACCCTCGGTCATTGAGGCAGTTGACAGTATTCTCATGACATGCAGTCTCACCAGTGAGGCCAAATCAGAAGCCTGTGGTCTAAAAAACTACTTTATGTCATTCAATGTTATTGTCCTCCTCACTGTCTGGAGAATCACATTTCTGTCATCAATGCATTGCAGAACTTTAAGCCAGTCAGGAAAAATCTCACTTGAAACAGAAGTAGCCAATATCTCAGCCTTAAAACAAGAGATGCAGGCTCTTAGAGATGGATGGGACTCACTCCTGTCTGAGGCAACACTGGTTGCTACACAAATGGATGTTCCACCTCAGTTTAACAAGGAACACAGCCGCCAGAGGAAAAGGAAGAGATTCCATGATGAGACCTCTCAAGAAGAGACAGCTCAGGACAGTGCAGCAACAGTGTTTCGGAACAGAGTGTTTTTTACTGCTATGGACAATATCATAAGTGACCTGTTCCACACCACTGCAGAAATAGCTGAAGAATTCTATGCTGTTTTGAAAGTTGGGCAGATTAGTGAAGATAAAGTCTCTTCTGTGTGCCAACCACTTATCAAGAAGTATTCCAGAGATCTCACATATGAGTTTGAAAATGAAGCTAGCCACCTGAACACAGTGTATGCTGCCACGTTCCCCCCTAACATGTTCCCTCTTGGTCTCCTGAATGCAATTCATGGGATGCAACTGCAGAGCATATTTGGAGAGGTGTGCATTGTGTTGCGTATGTTTTGCACATTGCCTGTTACCGTTTCTGAAGACGAGAGAGCTTTCAGTAAGCTTAAACTGGTAAAAAACTATTTGAGGTCCACTATGTCCCATGACAGACTTTGCAGTCTTGCCATGTTGTCCATTGAAAGTCAGTTGGCTAGAAAGCTGGACTTCAAAGACTTGATAGATGACTTTGCTAGAAGGAAGGCTCAGCGCTGGGCTCTTGGTGAATCAGGCTAAGCAAGGGCCTCTAG